GTTTACCAGAGAGCATATACTAAAAGATATTCCTATAGAATTATATTTATGTACAAAACGACGAACCACAAATATTATGTGTGCAAAATTTACTAACATTGGTAACTAACCGATATCAATAACCGATATCAATACTAGTAACTACCGTTGAACGAAACAGTGTATAATTATGTATTTTTAAGACAAAATCTTGTAAAATATTAAAAACAAAACGAAAAGTTACAAAAGGTGATAATAAATAAATATTGTTAAAAAAAAAACAATTCATTTTTATTAACGATCGTAATGATTAACCGTTCTAATTTTTCTTTTCAAGTTTAACTAAATACATAAAGTCCTTTCATCACAGGAAAATTGTAACAATTATAACTTATATACACATACCACGTGTATGAAATTTTCTCACGTATCTTATTCAAAAAGTTATTAGACACCTTAATTTCATACTTGAACTTTTAGCAATTTTTGAGTATTTGAAATTGCTGCATTTCTACAAACTCGCATATATTTGTGATTCTCTTCATTTTTTTTAACCCTTCCACTGCTATCGGCATCAATAAGCGTTCGAGAAAATCATTTATAGATTTATAGATACACTTGTACGTCTATGGACACAAGTACCACTCGTGGTACGGATTCAACGTCTACAGACGTTCAACTTTGTTTCATTAATAATAAAAGCATATTTGTACATAGTCTCGACTATATATTTTTTAGAGTTCGCCGTGTGTTCTGTGTGTCCGAGTTCTTCGCAGTGTAAAGGTTAACATAAATATATGCACAAAAAGTTCAAGTCAGCCTCCAAAGAACACAGCATAAAGGCAGCGTAGGAATGCACAAAGTTCAGATTCACGTTTCCTGGAACAGATTTGCTCAAATATCGATAACCAAACCCTTCAATTATTCCTAACAACACACACACACACACACACACACACACACACACACACTTATATATATATATATATATATATATATATATTTCTCACGCGTCCATTACTTTGGTAAAGTCCGCCTACTGAATGACTTAACATTTTGAAAACTTCTTTCAGTGACGTATCAAAGATGTGCCAAGGTCTTCGCTTTACAAAAGATATTAAAAATTCGACTTTCACGATAGGTGAAAGATTTCTCTTAACGTCAGTTGATTCCCGAGGTTTTTATGAAAGCATATAATCCCAGAGCTAATATGGTCACGACGGTGATGGTTTTGTAACTTTTTATGCGATAAGATATCCTTGGTTTCGACAGGGCAACTTTTAACTTTCGTTGTCTCTCTCTTTCCTGTCGACTTGCTTCCGCTAGTGCCTTCCATTCTTGTTCTTTAATTTTTCTCTTGTGATCATAATCCTTGACATCATTACTGATGGATTCGGGAGGGTATTGTCGATACAAGTTGGTCGCTTCCATCAAAAGTGTCTCGAATGGCAAGTCATCGGGTAACTGAGAGAGAAAAATACAGTTGGAATAATTTCATTGTATCCATTACACGCAAGTAAATGTTCTTACTGTTACACTTACCGTACACAATACTTTATGCGTATGTCCCATATCGGGCGTGGTGTTGAAAATTTCCGTAGCTCTATGTGCCACAATTACTGTACTCAGATAGAGAGGCATGAGGGGAGGACTGCCGAGAAAATAATCGAATAATCTGTGCAACAATTTCCTGTTTTCCGCATACTTGTGTGAGTACCATGTTGTATATTCAGCCAGAGCAAAATGTGGAAACAGTTCTACACTAAAAAGAACAAAAAAAGTGTTGATATTAGCAAACATTAAACTTATTAATACTTATGAATGTGTAAAACAATACATTCCAATTTTCACGGAATTTGTAAATATCTATAATAATAATGTAGAAAAATCTATCATGTTACATATAATAGCGACTAACTGCTCTAAATGTTCCAGTAAAGTTGGATGAACTCGCTCCAACAATGCAAATATGTAGAATAATTCCTGATTGACCTTTTCCATGGTTTCCTCCATGAATCTCTCTAGGAATGCTAGTGACATTTTTTCCAGCACATATAAGCCCGCTTGTAATCCCATCACGAGCAATACAGTTGCTGCTACATCATTGTATCCCTGGTAGTAACTAAGTATGCGTTATATTATTTTGTATTACAACAAGATGAGAACATATATATAACATGATGAATAAAGCACACATTACTTGTGCTTGAGAATACTAACTTTAATCGGGAATGCCTGTGAAGTACCCAACACATAAGTTGTGTCAGCTGTTCTTGGAAACTCTCGGTTTCTTCTTCCGTTGCATTTTGTGAGATGTGGCTGCCACTACGTGCCACGTCCTTCAATATCTGTTGATAAACCTCATTTGGTATGCAAGTATGTATAGTTTCTAATCCATCGACTGGTACAGAATCCTCTTGCACTAGTCTCAAGAGTTTTGGCCACAGAACCCTTCGTACATCATCTACAGATCATCTTTATGATTTCAAGACTTGGTTATACATCACAAAGTTATTCTCAAGAAGGAACCATATTGTTGAACATGGAGAAACATTGCGAGACATTATTCCCCACTGATTCGAATAAAACTTAACGATATCACGTATTTTGATGCTTGCGGCATGTAAAAGTTAAAATCGTCACTTTCAATTGTGAGAAGAACAACAAAACCTCATAGATCACACTTTGTCAAGTTGAGGCATATATTACCTACCCAACTAGATATGCTCATTACTACACTTATATCGTGACTTTAATATAAAAACTTTTATCTCCATGTAATCGCATGATTATATTTCATCAGAACATGTAACAAAACCTTGAGTTATCTTGCAAGGTGAAGAAACCTGTCATATGTTACCTACACATACGACGTTACACGTCGATCATGATTCACACAACAATGAAACACAATCAGAGCGACGGCTTTTACATTCGCAATGGAAAGCATCGAAATACGACTGTCGCACACGATTACAACATGTGTGATATGATTAAATTCAATCGAATTCGCTGAAGGGATGCTCCTTCTGCAACGTTCGTCATGCTCCCGGATCTCTCGGCGATAACTCGAAACGAAATTCACCGTGAGGTTCCTTGTTGATCATAACGTACGGTCATCTCAATAAAAGTACCAGTGACGAAGCCTTCGCTGCTACAGCCGAGTCGTCTCAGCTCGCCCAAGGTGAGATTTGGATTGGCGATGCTGCCGCGGATAACGCTTATCTTCGTCTTTTCGCGGCTCGTCAGCGGGTCGTCCGTTTCGGCGGCATCACTGCTGTCCGAATCGTCGCGGCTCGACACTCGGTTTTGTTTACCGACCACGTCAGCGGATATCCGCGGCACGTCGTCGTCAAACCACGCTTTCGTCGAGTCGGACAGAATCACCAGCGGCACATTATCACGCGACTCGATCACCCCGTTTTCCTCCTTGGCCGGAAGATTCGCCGTCTCCGCGGACTCCTCGGTTACGATCCTCCTGCGAATCCTGCCGCTGCTGTTGTGGTTATGATTCTCGAGCGTTTGCGCCGACTTGCTCGTCTCCGTAGCTGGCTGCACCAGAGGCTGCACCTCGTCGCTCCCGGTGTCTCCCATCTCTTCGAGACCTCTCGTGGATTCACGCCGGACGGGTCGTCGTAACGCGCGTCATAACACCGACGGATTTGGTTAAACAACGGGCACCGGAGAAATGACAGACCGTTACACTCAATCGTGCCTCGAGAATGACACGCGAATGACACATGCACCGTCCGCGCACTGCCCGCCGCGAACTAGAGATGGCGTCCCGCCGGTCGAGTCACGCTGCTTGAAAATGAATCAAAGCTACGTGTCACTCGAGTCATCGAGTCGGTTTTTTCTTTTTTATTGATTGAAAACTATATTGATTACGTACAATATTAGAATCGCGCGCAAATTAGATCGATTAGAGGAGGCCATTTTGGCGAAATGCGTAAGTCGCACTTGCGACATCTGTACGAAATATTGGACGATAGATCGAGGACTGCCACCGTCGGTAGCGCGAGGACGAATCTAGTGACGTTTCGTTGGACACGTCGTCAGACGCGTCTCCACGTCTCGTTCTGCGCAGACGTGACATTCGCGTTCGCCTTCGTCGAATCTTGACTCTCGTGAACGGTGAGACACACGGCGCGCGGTTGTTCGCTGAAATCGTCGATATTCGCAAATTGAGGAGAATGTCGGGAAAGTCCAAGGCGTTCACCAAAGAGGAGGAGCTTCTGCTGCAGGACTTCTCAAGGAATGTTTCGACAAAATCCTCGGCACTGTTCTACGGGAATGCATTTATCGTTTCGGCGATACCCATCTGTGAGTATAGGCGGAATTTGTACAACCGGGAACGCATGTCTGTTTTTACCCTTTTTTTTTTCGCGCTAATTTATGCATTTGTCACACCGTCTCACAATTTGACGTCGGCTTCATGTTATTACTGTGAATAAAAATTGCTTATTCAACGATGTGTCAGCATACGAGGTGTCTTAATGGGTACACAGAATATTTTCCCATTAATCACTGACGAAACCTCGTCTATACATGTGTTTTGGTATTTAAAATGAAAAATAATGGAGATTGCAGTTTGATATTGTAAAAGAAAAAGTAAATTTGTTAAAAATAACATCTTTAAGAAGTATGTCACATGTGTCTGTCAGTCTAGATAGATCTTGCATTATAATTGTGTATAATTAGAAATATGGTATTTTGTTGTAACTTTTGTATGAATGCTGGATAAATAAGTAAATTAGAAATTCTTGTGTATTTTATATTAATCATATTATCATGTGTGTTTTAGGGTTGTTTTGGAGAATACACTTGATTGACCTATATGCCAACTTAGTATCTTTCGTAGGAATTACATTACTGAGCACATATGCTCTTGCATTAGCATATAAAAATACCAAATTTATCCTGAAACATAAGGTGTGTACACATGTTATCTAAGAAATTAACTTTTTTTCTGTAGTTGTCATAGAAAAGTGCTTATTGGATGTCATGTAAAGAAACCTTTTCATAATAATTCTTGCAGACTGATATTGTTGCTTTAATTCTCTATATGCCTAATTTATTCAAGAAATTATAATTTTTAAAATTATAGCAATGATAACAGTAAGAACATTCTGTATGGATATACACATGTTATACAGATTGCTGTAAAAAGAGAAGATGCTGTAACAAAGGAAATAAGCCGCAAGCTTGCAGAAGACAAGAAGATGAGCAAGAAGGAGAAGGACGAAAGGTAACATGCCTTGCGTTATCCTGAAACTAATGGTTAATACGAATCTATAGCGTATTATTAGATGCTACATATGGAGAGAAGATCCGGTCAATTTTGAAATTACAAATTGCAAAACAACCACTGTTATTTCAAACTTATGTCACACATAAAGTGGATATAATATAAATATACATTATATATGATCTTTCAGGATTTTATGGAAGAAAAATGAGGTAGCGGATTATGAAGCGACAACATTCTCTATTTTCTACAACAACGCTCTTTTCTTGGCGCTCGTCATTGTATCTTCGTTTTACATTCTAAAAACGTTCTCACCCGCAGTAAATTACGTACTTTCCGTAGGAGCTACTAGCGCACTCTTAGCGTTATTATCGACGGGATCTCAATAATATACGTACATCATGATATGTCTTGTTATCTAATTTCATAAGAAATCTTCAGCGAGGATTCATTTTTTTCATATAAACAATTATAAATTATGATATACGGTATAAATTATGATAATAATAAACATTTCTTCTTGTAAAAAAGTACACAGTTCAATAAACCTAATTGGCGCTTTGAATGAAATTATCTAATTTGTAACGTTATTTTACATTTGGTAATATCTTTATTTTATCTTGAAACTTCCTTGATTTTCTGAACTCCTGATGTTCAACTTATCTTCTTATCCTTAATTTTTTATGCAGTTTCAGAAATTGAACTTCATTGTTGTCTACTATAGAAAAATATACCAATCGTATGAAAAAATTAGATAATGACTAGATATAGGAGCTGTTGCAAGTCTAAATGACATCAATATTAATATGACACAATGGCTTCTGCCTATAGAACACGGCAACGCTTGCCGTGCAGCGGAAATTCGCGCAGTAGCCAATCAACATGCCGTTTTTTCACAAGAATTAAAAGTTTATTGGCTGCTGCGCGGTAAGCGTTGCCGCGTCTTGTGGGCAAAAGCCATAACTCTGTATACAGTGTGCTGCTTAAAATGTATCGAAGTTCATGGAATGTATACACTGCAGTTTGAACAACAATATTGATAACAGGGACATTGCCTTATTTTGGTTATCAGAGAGTTAAGAAATCGCATTGTCTTTGAGTACTATCTCTCAAAATAATCAATTCTAGTGGCTCATTAATTTCAGCATCTTTCGGTGTTTTCTTCTTTCTTTTTCTTTTTGTTAACTTTGCAGAGACTTATTTGATAATAAATTACGTAAATCCTCTGGAAAACTTTACGCTTAATTTTTCATCACTTTTTAACCATCGTTCTTTCTTTAGCACTTTTATATATGTATTAGTTTAATAAAATTCTCTTGAACTTTTCAGCTCTCCTGATAAATATGCCACAATTAGAATATTCTTTTCTCTTTACACAGAGTTCTATCGCGGTTTCTCAGAACGAATAGTTCGACCTTCGGAGTTCTATCGAAACGTCCTTTCGATTTTCGTATCCTCGTTAAGCCGAATATCGAGAGCTCGGAGATAGGACGAGCTTCTTAAATCGTCCAACTTTCGACTCTCATACAAAGAAGGAGTACGTGTGAAATTCCTTACTACCTGCTAGTCGACTATAATGGATTGTCCTACGAAGAGTCGCGTGCTGAGGACGCGGTAACCGCTGCATCTTTATTTTGACCTGAGATCCCCTCCTAAAACAAACATCGTCCCGAATCATTAAAGATCGGAGAAAAGTAGGAATTTGGGGAATTTAACTTTCCGATCCTTCTGAATATATAAGTGTATGCCTGTGTTTATCTTTAAGAATAAAATGTAGATACCAACTGGTATGTAAACAGAGAAGCGAATCCGTGACGACCCGAGGAACGCGTTAAAGGGAAAATGGAAAAGTTTCATTCATGGTGTCATTTGTCATCACGAAATCATTGAAAATAGACGTTCGTTCAAAACGTTGCCTCAACGAACACTTTCGTCCAAAACGCTTCAGAAATTCTGATTTGTATGTTCTCACATCAAATAATAAGAGAGCCGTTCCCCTTCCATGAGGTAATAGGTCTTGATTCCGCACGTGGTGCGATTAGACCGGACGTATGACAGAGAAGGACTTGAAACGCGCGCAGCTGGTGTGAGCATTCAGTAGCTCAACGGCTTTCAGGTTGTTCGTGTACTGCAAGTGCCGCACTTCATCGCCTGTGCTTCGACTTCAGGTAGTATAAGTTTTTATTTACTATGCGATCGAGAAATCGATCTGAACTATTATCAGCTAAGCGAAGAACATGAGAAAAAGGCGAGAGAGGTGAAAGATGTTGGAGAATGAATAATGTTCGTTATGGAAGATCCAGGTCGACGAGCGAGTTTCAGTTATCTCGAACTTGTATAAAGATCCTTCCATCTTTTCTCGCTCTAATGCGCTCTTTAATCACGATCGCGTTATATTCCTCGGTAAGTATTTCACCCGACCTCGTGTGTGTTTCAAATCACTTTTCCTGAAGTTAAAGTCCATTTCGTTAAGTCTTACCCAGGTAGCACATGAGATAGCACATATTGATTTTATACACGTTCTTTAACGTATATAATGATTTATAATTGTATTACAAAAACGTTTAAAAAACGAATATATAAAACTAAGGATAAAAACGTATATAAAATTATGCTATTTGGATGGTTTCTTTCCTTCAGCTCACGTGTTGCATGCCAATGAAAAAGAAAGAAACCATGGAATTTATCGTCGTTTGCATTTTGCGCTAATTAAGTTTCTGGGTTGAATATCTTGTTCTGTTTATGTAAACTTTTTTCCATTTTTACAAGTGCTTTGTATATGTACACGCCTGATTGCGATCTAAGTATTCTGATTATGAGTGATTCAGAATTTTTCTAACATTGATAACTAACGAGGCCGCTGCTTGATTAATAGACATTTAATTTGCAAATGAAAATAATGTTAATCACTTTATTCTCGGCTATCTATCTCGAAATTTCAGAAAAGAAACGAAAAAACTTGAATCGAATTAGTTCGGGTATTATACGGCCACCCGGCTTTATCGATTGCATTAATATCGTTGTTTAGGAACTTTAAGTTAATCGCTGTATGTATAGCGAAATTGATTACAACGGTTATAGTACGACAATGTAGTGTGCAACGTTACATTGGTAAAAACCCGGGTATTGTGGATAAAATGCTTCGTAAAAAGATCCTATTTATTTGCTTATCGACAATCGTGCGGATCACTCGGGCGGATTAAACAACGAAATCGAGACTTGGAATAAAGAAAGGCGATGAATAAATAATGAGACAAAAGAAATCGTGTAATAACTCAATAAAGGAAAACATGCGTCTTACTGTACAAATATATATCCATGTTGAAGCGAGATACCGCCGATCTTGGGATTTCAACGTGATGTTTACTGTATCTCGAGACTGGTTTAGTGACTATCACGAATACGACCGCTAATTATTGAGATTCTTTACACTGAATATAATTAAATGCTACTATGTAATTAGGTCTTACATTTATGCAACCGTAATCACACGAGGAATGCATAATGTATAGTTAATTTTAAGTGGCAATTTTAAACGTCATCATGATTCCAAGAAACTCGACGATTAGATCTATAATAGTACGTTGTGTCGCGTGCGTTGCATGTGTCTTGATACTGCCAGGAAGTAAAAAAATAATGCGAATGCGTGAAAAATAATTTCATATTCGTCGAATATGACCCTGTCGTTCCGTCAGCTCTGTTCTGTAACTTCTTAACAACAGTATCACTAATAATTGCCGTTGTGCGCTATTTATATATTGTATCTGCGCAAGGACGGCGTAACAATAATGAAACTGTCGTTAAAAGTTACAGAATAAATTTAAAGCGACGGAGATGACGAAATCACCAGTCGCGTTATTTTCACGCGACCGGAAAACGTGAAAATTATTAATACATATAACTGTATATAATATATAATTATCATGACGGATAACTCTCGCGACATGTCGGAGACGTACGCGCGTTTTTCATTATACGACGGGGAACGTTCCGCGACGAAAATCTAAAGGAAAGAAAAAAGAAAGAATAAGAAACGACCCTACAATGACGCGGTATTTACTTCGGAGGGGAACATCTCGAAGCAAAGTCCAAGATGTATCTCATCACATAGTACGATGGTCGCAATAGCGATGACTTGGAAGATTTAATCTCAGTATAACAATTCGTTGAGAAGAAATTCGTATTGCTTCGAACAGTTTTTCGGCCGGATTTATTTTCCTTTCGCGTAATGCGGAAGGACAGCCGGAAGTGCGCATTTATCATTTTCGATTCGTCACGCATCAATTTTTAATGCTTCGGTATCGCGACCGGCAATTTTGTATTTGAGGATATTTTCCCGTAATTGTGAGCGTTTACCTGGGCGATTAGGAGAAAAACACTTATAAATTGTCACTCGGCTGACTAAATGCTCGTTCGAACCGTGTATGCCAGATAGCATTGGAATATTTTATGAATATTCTATTTTTATTCATTATGAAAATTTATATACTCATAAAACGTACTGAAACACCATGTGTATTTACATATTGTATGTTCTTAATATATTCGAATATTAGTACTACTATAAATATTTTATAAATGAGCATGAGATATTTCTCATCGAATGTTGTAGCAAGCAAGTGTATGGGCAGATTTAATGGGCTTCCGGAACTAAAAACGCACGAAGATCTCAGTTTCCAATTAAGTACGTATGTCACATACGTACTTATATACAGAGAAGACCGGAACTAGAAATCACACTTTTACGTTCGAATTAAAATAAAAAAATACATACGATATTTCATAGTATTGTATACATTTTTATGTAGCTGTAAGCCTTTAAAAAAAATTAGTATCTTAGCGAAGTCGTAAGACGAATTGAGGTAAACAAAAGAGTCATCTACTATTTTGCAGACAACACATAAAATTTCGAGTTATTAATGATTGAAAATGGCACGGGGGCTTCTTTAATTAATAATTCTAAAGTTCGCGTGTTATTTATAAAACGTTACTTATAAAATGGTAAAGGAATGTTTTGTTCATAATTTACAGATATATGATAGTTGATGTACGTAGCGATAGGTTCAAAGTTCGAAGTCCATGATTCAATATACTGATATCCGTCGCAATGTAACAAAGCTTTTTTATGTGTGTAAAAATGTTATCAAGCAACGTTGTACTGATCTCCTTAACTGACTTTCTTAATCCCGGATTAGTTATCACGTGTCATATAGAGGATTTACATCTTCTCTTCAAATGTTTTTTTTTAATGTATTATTAAATATTTTTTTAAATATATATTATTAATATTTCTTTAATACATTATTAATAATATCACGCAGTCAAGGTGCATTTTTATCTCTATCTGTTTTTCGCGCTTCCGAATGGCCGAAAAAATTCCACTAAAATCCACCTAAAACCCTTATATATCTATGAACATAATTTCCCAATTAATATAACCGGATAACTTTGGCTTTAATAAGATTCGGCAATTCATGTGTATGCTTTCGTTCATAAGCTGTGCAAAACCTACCTCGCTTAATTCATCAACTGACCTCGATCATTTCTAATAAAAGAAATTATATTTCCAAACAATGTTATAATAATGGTTAAATTAAATACAGGAGAAATTAGAATTGCAATATTTCTCAATATGCATATAGGGACCGATAATCTCACTAGCAATGGTACAATATAAACAGAAACAGGAAAAAATTTATTTACTACGTCTAATTCTATAAAAAAAAATTCATAAGTACTACATGCAATGAGTTAACCACGAGTTGTCTCGTACACCCAACTAACGTGATATCATTACACCAACTTATACGCGAGAATAATATAAACTTTGTGACAACTTTCTGACTGACCCGTATGACCCGTATGACCCGTATGACTTCTCGCCGCGGTTTCTTTTATGCTCACCTAGGTCTATTAGATCTGCATTGCAGATACATAATAAACGAACTTAACGACTGTTCTAAGAAACGTTTTTTTCTATTATGAATATATGAATCTCTATTTACAATATTCTATGTATATTCATAGAACATTCAATTCACATGAATATTCTGGAATTAAGAACATTTGTACGGCATAAAAATATTCATTTAATATTTTGTGCTATCTGGATATGACGTGCGACGAGATTCGAGTGCGTTTTGAAATTTTATTAGAGTTCAAATTAAGTATAAATTTCGAGTTGAAATATGCATGCGCGAATCATACATGGAAGAGAATAACGTTGTGCGTTAGCTTAGGACGATCAACAGATAACGTTCGATGACAATATGATTTCGTAAGGAAGAGCTGAATGAATTTACAATATTAACACCAATTAACTTGATTGTAATCTATTTGTCTTTTAATTTTCTTTTTATATATAGTAAGAGAAGGTAACAATCATGAGTGTAACCAGAGAATGCTTGCCCACCTTTTTAAGCCTAAATTTTTGCCTAATTTTGCTTAAATTTTGGCAAGGAAGAGAAAATTAAATTACGAAAATCATGAAAGTAAAGAAATATAACCGATATATTACAATCTACGTTCTGCGAAAAAGTTACATTACATATTCTGTTATTAAAAATTAAAAACTAATGACAAAGTATTAGCAATGCTTTATGAAAATGAACGTAATGAAGATTTTGCCAATTTTACTACTATTCCTTGGCCCGATCCTGCACAACGAGCGCCATTGAAAAGTCTTTTAGTACATTGCAAAAATTGAAAACTTGGTTCAGGTGAATAATGTCAGAAATTACTAATGTATTCCAAGTGTACACAGTGTACACAAGTGTACACAGAGAAATGGTGCTCGCGAAAAATACTGAAAAAGTTCACTGAAGATTCGCCTCGATTAGCAGAAATCCAGTCATGTGACATTCACATTGAGAAGAGCTGATAAAGACAAATATGTATATATAAATGATAAGAAAATACCACACAGCGACTCCGCTAAGTATGTATCTTGATGCTCGACTTACGTGGGAGCAACATGAGCGGAAAAAAGTTGAGCAAATTTAAATTTAATTTAAATTTAAAACTTGATAACGCCTTAAAACTTGTGTCGGTTAATAGGACGTGGATCAAAACTAGATCTTAATTGTAAAAGATTGCTTTATTTAATGGTTATCAGATCAATATGGACATATTGAATCTAACTGTAGGGATGTACTAAAGATTTTAACCGCTTAATAATCCAACGTTTCCAAAATGGTATAATTCGTACAATTACAAACACAAGATGGTAGCAGCGTAACGAAAACTTATAAAGAGATCTGGACCTGAAGTACGTAAACGAAATTATAAAGGACTTTGCAAAATCACATGAAAGAAGACTAAATAATCATATAAATATTGAAGCCATACAACTTTTTAACAATGAGGACGACATGAGAAGACTTAAGCTAATAAACTACTCGATCTTATCGTGAAATTACACAAGTCATTATTAATCATTACACATCATTACACAAGTCATTATTAATCATTACACATCATTACACAAGTCATAATTAATCATTGTCAGCGGTAATACTTATTTGAACAATAGCTTAAGATTGTAATAAACGTTATTAAAAAAAAAAACTGAAGATCTGCGAAGACTAGTTTTAATTTAAATATATTATTCAATTTTGCGTGAAGATAAATTTATTACCCTTCTCCCTTCCCCCTTTAACTAAAATCCTGCCTACGCCCATGGTAACAATTGAGACCAATCAAGTAATACAATTCACGATAAATTCTATATATTATCTTAGAGAGATGCATTTAAAAATATAAGTTGTATAGAATTATACATAACAACTAATGAAAGTATGAATCTTGTCATAACATGAAACGTGAAACGAAGATAGAAATAATTTCCTCTTATGGGAATTACACAATGAAGTTTTAATCATAATATAATCAAATATTTGAACGTGAAAACCTGTTTTTAAATTTCAATTATATTTCTGTCTCTCTCTCTCTCTCTTTCTCTCTCTCTCTCTCTCTCTCTCCTCCTCCTCCTCACTTTATCTCCGTCAAAATATGTTGGAGAAGTCGTAAATAGTTACGCCCATGATATTTTACCCGCGAATGTTTTTCCAACGATTAAGTGGCAATTTATATCTTTACTTAATAAATATTCGGTGAATAATAATATGACGTACTTTGACCATTCATCGCCTGACATCGTTACATATATCTATAATAGAAGTGTATGATTTACAAGCATGTATCACAACGAAAGTTTACCCATTCTCATATTCATCAGGTTGTCATAAGTTATCGGTTTCATGACCTCACTGATGCAAAATAGCATAAAACAAAAATATATATGTATATATATTTGTACTGAGTGTCTGCACACTCCTTTGCATTTCTACACGAACATTTCGTGCCGAATATTAAAATTTTTGAGGGCGAGACTACAACACCAGACATACCATCATATGATTACGTCGATAGATTAATTCGAGGGCAGTCCGATAAGTACTTAGCCTACAAAAGAAAAACGAAAATTTTGGAAAAGTGGCGATTTATTTCTCAACATAGTCTCCTTTTAGCTCGATACACTTGACCCAGCGATGCTCCAACTTCTTTAACCCATCTGAAAAATACGTTTTCTCGAAGTCTGCAAAGTAGGCCTCCGTGGCGGCGATGACCTCCTCATTTGGCCAAATTGGTCGAATTGGACTACGAACTGCTGCCCCATCCACCGTATTCTCCAGATTTGGCCCCATGCGACTTTTTTTTGTTTCCAAACTTGAAAAAGTCATTTGCCGGGCAGAAATTTGAGTCGAATGAGGAGGTCATCGCCGCCACGGAGGCCTTTGCAGACTTCGAGAAAACGTATTTTTCAGATGGGTTAAAGAAGTTGGAGCATCGCTGGGTCAAGTGTATCGAGCTAAAAGGAGACTATGTTGAGAAATAAATCGCACTTTTCCAAAATTTTCGTTTTTCTTTTGTAGGCTAAGTACTTATCGGACCGCCCTCGTACAGCAATTAAACATTCGCTCTACATTTCGAGATATTTAATTTTTATTTAATTTACTGTTTATTTATATTGTAATACTGTTTTATTTAATGTTTATTTAATGTTTATTTAATTGTTTATTTAATTCTTAATTTAACGTTTATTTAATTTCTTAATTCGTGTGAGAGATTTTGAGAAAAATGTGTTCGAACAAGTTTTTAATTAAATATCACGTTATTAGGTATATTTATTTAAGACAAAATAAGCTTAAGTTTAGTGCGATAATAAATTAAACGCGCGACTGATTCGCACGTTGCGACTTTAATTGATACGACAGTTGCCTGAGCTCAAGTTAAGATGAAAATCTCAAAAACGTAGAACATCGAGATCTGTTCTTTTTAGCTGAATTGGTTGCACTAATTCAAGAGATTTATGTACACTGAAGCATGAAAATCTCGTGCGTATACTTCATACGCTTCAACGCGTATGTATATTTATTGAACTAGTGCAGCCAATTCAGCCAAAAAGAACGGACTAATTAATAGTTTTTAATTAAGGCATTATTTCAAGCTGATGAATTAGTGGGATGAAAGTTCGCGCGCTCAGATATGGTACAACGTACAACAGTAAAAGTATTCTAGTTAAAATAATAAAAATTCCTTAAAATAATAAAGATATTTTTGTATTGTAAAACACAAATGATCGAGTAATTTCGTCTTTATTTGAACTCAGAAGAAACTGTTGTATCATTTAGTCGAGATACATATATATAGTTGCGAAAAAATATATAGGGTGTCCAGCACAAAGATGTTACAACATCCGTTATATATTTATACTTTAAATCAATGTGAACAAAAGAGCTCTCTATCATTTTGCAAACAATACGCAAAATTTCGAGTTATTAATTATTAAGAATGGCCATGTATAGAGGTTTACGTAAATTTAATTGATTTATTTAATTAATGACTAAAAAATTTGTGTGTTATTTGCAAAATGGTGTTACGTCTTGGGTGTGTCCCGGAAACTATGAATTTCTCTTTTTAATTATATGATTGGGAAACAGACGAATTTCGGGCTAGCACTACTGTAACAAAGATAAGAGAACATTGACCGCCGTTAAACGCACCGTATGATTCTCCAGGTGTTATCATTCATTCCAACTTCATGTAAGGTATGTAGTTTATTTAAATCCTGGGTACCCCGGGGACGACAGATTCGTCTTTTATCTAGCTACCTCTACGTTAGGCACGTATGTACCCATACTGGGTATCAATAGTAACGGATTCCTCCTCTTATGATTATAAAACTAACAAATTCGATCAAGCGGTTTATGAAAAGATACGAGTACACGCTGCCCACACATGTCATAAGGCTTCCGATGGGGCTGCGATCTATCCACCCTTGTATAACAAGGGTCCTCCTATGCGATTAGGTTCTTAGAATTGTTTATATTAATACTAGGAATTTTCCAGAGTAACCGTCTTCCACGCAACCTCCTCTCATTGGTGGACGTCATCCACCATCCCCTGAAATCCTTCCTATATAAGCCTTACCCTTTTTGCCGCGAGCGCAGTTACAATAGTAGTTTTTCTTGCAGTCAGTCAGTCAGTCAGTCAGTGACAGTCACAGTTACAATTACAGTTCAGTCTAATTTAGTTCAGTCCAGACCAGTTCAAGTTCAGTACAGTACAGTCGAGTCCAGTTCAAGTTATAGTTACAATTAGAGTTACAGTCGCAGTCACAGTTGCTGTTCTTAGTGTCTGATCTTAGTTCAGTCTTCAGCAGTCCACAACCATAGTCTAGTCCAGCCTTCGTCTTCGTCTTCATTCGTCCTCGTCAGTCTATTGATTCATCTAAATCGTAAGTCTCCATTTCATATTTAAACATGACTTTTAACCATTTCAATCCAATTTCCAATCCCACTTCATCCCTCAAAACACATACCTGAACTGCGTGATTATTGTTTTCTTTGTATTATATAACGATGTTTTCCTCGCTATACCGATATGTTAAACATTCTTGTTGCGTTATATCCGATTGTATTAAATTAAGTTACACGAATTACCTTTTGCTTAATCTCACTTTAATCTTCATCTTGTATTCGCGTTATTCCAGTAATGCTGATTTATAAAAATTTGTTTAATGTTAACCCACATATTTCATTGTTTAACTTTAGCTAACCCTTTCATCTTTTAAATGTTGCATCTTTTACAATGACTGTTCTTATCAATTTACCACTATTATTAATCCATCCGAGAACCAAATTATATTATTAATAAACAGTTTTATATTCAAAATGCCCTAAATTTAATCAAGTTGTTAAAACTATTTATTCATCTCCTATCAATTACCTAAATATAAATTCCCCTCTCAACACACTCATATGGTCCTATCCCAGGTAAAGAGATTAAGTTCTTTGACCTAAATAAAGGACCACCTAACGTACGTTTTGTGATCGGAGTAAATGGGCCTCTCCGGACCTTGACCTGATCTGCAGACCTACCAGTACGTTTAGGACTCACCAGTGAGCGAGTAAACAATTTTGTTGCGTTCGTCCTCTTTCAGGACGTAACAATGGTAAAAGACTACTTTTGTTCAGAATGGCCTAAATCTGATAAATATATGACATTTGTTGTACATAGATAGATATATATATATATATTTGTTTGTACATAGTTGTACATATATATATATATTTCTTTTACTAACCTTTGGTCTAGAAAATGCAACAGAAATCAAAGATCACTTTTCCATTTCAATATTTATTAATAAATTTTCTGCTTTAGCAAACTTATTTTCTTTTGTTCTAACCATATCAAGGAAAAAAGATGGACTGACATATTTATGCAATTCTAATCAAATATTTATACATTCATATATAAATATAACTGCGGTTTACGTGAAACTGCAACTTAAATTTTTACGATTGCTTCGTTTTACGATTCATTCATTTAAATATATTATAATTCATATAGATAACTAAAAATTGTGCAAAAATTATTTTCGCCGGTCGATTTTTATCGTTGTAGAACTTTGTAGTTGCAAGTTAAATTATGTTGAAATTTAAAATTCAACAGCTTAGATAATTATCCTTGTATGCACGTGTGTGCGCTTACAACCATTGTTACTTAATTATTTGTAACTGATATTCTTTCTTTAGCGAAAATGTCCGCGTCTCAGCCCACAGAATACGGACTCGTGAATGGGCTTATGAAGGACAGCAAGGTACGTTGAACGCATGAATAAACATATGATCAATAATTGATCGTATTACAAGCGTATTTGAAAGGAGTTATTAATTATTAAGTTATTGATTATTAATTATTTATGTAAATTTAATTGATTTATTTAATTAATGACTAAAAAATCTGCATGTTATTTGCAAAGTAGTAAAGAAGTTGAGAGACAGAGAGGATAAGTTGTATAATAAATTTTGTCAGCGATGAAAAGTAAGCGACCAAAAGTTGCGCAGAAATGCGGTTTATTTCCATCGGTCGAGTTTGTCGTCGTAAAAGTTTAAAGTTCAATTATGTGCGAAATTGAAAACTCAGCAACTTGTTTCTTAATTTTTTATTTATTTTTATTCTCAATATCAATGCGTAATAATACCCGTTAGAATGCCCGTTTAGTAATGTGCAGTAAGATACCCATTCGTTTCTTATTCGAAAAGATTGAGAAATCTAAATATTTATCGCGATAACTGCAAATAGCGTCAGCGTCAACACTCTGATATTTAAAGTACCTATAATTTTATTTTCTTTTGCCGTAGAACATGCATCAGTCAATCAGATACGCAATACCCAGCGAAACTGGACTCGATGGTAATTTTATTCAATCGTATTCTACTAGATGTTATTTTATATTTCTGCAATGATTAACATTCTTGCTTTATGTTGTTTACTCTACGTTTTTTACGTTTTTTATGTAATTTACGTTATTAGAGCTGTATTAGCATTACCTGTAACTGTATCCTCTATCAAGCTACATAAATAATATATTTATTTATAATAATATATTTCAAACCAGTAATTGCACACACGTTCTCTTTGATATCAATTAAGGATTAATCGTCGCGGTGATTCATCCTTACAGCACGGAAGCTTGCAGTTACACGCTCTGATTTTAACGAATAAGCTGAATAAACTCTACGAAGATATACAGGCATGAAAATAAGAAGAAGAAAAAGTAAAGTTAGACTGAATATACGCAGTAAAAAATTTTGCGTTAAATTCAACACATTTCACATGTCCCAAACGGTCTACTCAAATTTTTGTGTTAACTTAACACAAAGTGATTATGTTGAAAAGTAACATAAATGTTACGTCAAGGACATATTAATTTTGTGAATATTACAATGTTTCAGTGTAATGTTTATACAATTCATGTTCCTGTAGCCTACCTCTGCTGTGGAGGTTCTTCTCTCTTCTTCCTCCCTCGAAAAATGTGATTCTTCAGATTCTCACGAATTGTCTTCTTATGCGTCTCGATCGTTCGCAGGACCCGATCAGGTGCTGCCTTCGGACGTAGACACAACATGCGACGCGAAAGGCAGGGTGCGAATCAAGCTGGACGGCAGCAATCCGTACATGACGATGTCAATACCCGGCATTTTCTCCAGAACAGCGCAGCGCTATCCGGATCACATCGCGATGGTGTCCTCTCCCGGTCCCGATGGCAAAAGAACCACGTATACTTATCGGTACGTGCTGTGCGACATCCTCATAGAAAAGTATTATCGCCTATGATAAATTGATCAGTGATAAATTACTTAACGAATAAACTCTACGAAGGTATACAGGCAAGAAAATAAGAAGAAGAAAAAGTAAAGTTAGAGTAAATATACACAGTAAAAATTTAGCGTTAAATTCAGTTGCCCGGTAATTTTTTATTCGTACGAATAATAAAATTACTGAGCAACAATTTATCATAGGCAGTAATACTTTCCTGTAAGGGCGGTCGAGATAATTGACTTTCAACCAACGACCTCTCTTATTTTCCACGTTATCCAAGTGATAAGCCGGCACGAACACGATAGTAGTTTGGCTTTTCAACTACGGTTTCCTCTTCCTCGAAATCTTTCACGAGTGTCCTATATCAGCACGACTGCTGAAGATTAGAAGCAGATCCAACGATATGTTACGCCAAGAGCTGATCTTCTACGTATATGTCGCCTTGAATACCTGTAATGAAATAGGAAATAAGGGAATATAAAAAATTTTATAAAAAATGGCCTGCACTGCGAGCATAACTTGACGCAAACGTGTGAAGCGAATTAACATCTCATTGTTAACCACAAGATTTTACGTAAGCTATATTTGCATATATTTTCATAGTCAGCAGATTAAAGTGTAATGTATTTTTCGTAAGTTTGTCAACGTATTTTATTTTTTATTTTTTTATTTTATTATTTTTATATCCAATAGAAAAATATATCTTCTGAGAATTATTAAAAAAATATCTGGTCTTATACTTAGTTCTAGAAGAGTTCCACAACAGTTACTGAGATATGTTTGAACGGGAGTAGCGGCCTTTAAATATTTTTAAATAATTTTTGAACCCCTTTTGTAGTATCATAGATGATGTACCGTCCGAAAAAAAAAAAAATCGTTTTTCTTTCAAAAGTATGTTTCACCCCTGAAAGTGCGTTAAATACTATAACATAAACATATAAAAAATACGTGTTCCCTGTTTTTGGCCTAAATTTCAACATTTATCATTATATTATTTATTATTTTTATTATTATATCTTATTACTATACATTTATTATTATATTATTTATTATAAGTGCATAAAATTCGAAAAGAAATATTTCCATGTGTTTTCTTGTTAGATAGCAAATTGAGCATAGATAGCAAATGCATTAGATAGCAAATGAGCGTTAGCAACTTAGTAATAGTTTAATAATTCATCAGTTATTTGTTATAACGAATGCCGCAATATCGCGGCAATTTTTATTGCAGGGAATACGAGCAGTCCGTGCGAACCGTCGCCAAGGCGTTTTTGAAATTGGGCTTGGAGCGATACCGCAGTGTCTGTATATTAGGATTCAATTCTCCACAATGGTTCATTGCCGATCTCGCGGCCATATACGCTGGGTAAAGAATTTTAACATTTGTTCCGTATTCAAATAAATATCATGTGCAGTGTGCGGGATCCGACGAACGAAGGACGTTTCTTTGTCTAGATGGCGGCAAACATTTTTTAATTCCCCATTAAAATATTCTTCAATAATTTTCTACTTAGAGTGACACGGTGATTCGCATTTATTCGTGCAAGATTTGCACGGAGAAAATATAGTATTATTATTACCTACATTATTTTACGTTCAAACACAGCTTAATGATATTCAATTAATATTCAATTTTCAAGTCAGCACTGCGTCTTTCACGGACTTGCATTCGACGTTTCGTGAATGTTTTCGTTCACTTCTTCAGGGTGAGAAACGACCCTCGAAACTGTTCAAAATTAATTGAATGTTCACCCAAGCAGCGAAAGTCTAAAATATCAGTTTACGATGATATTATTTTTAATTTTGTTTTTAGTGGATTTGCCGCAGGGATTTACACTACAAATTCCCCGGAGGCATGCCAATACTGTTTAGAGCACGGTCAAGCGAATATCGTAGTCGTTGAGGATGAAAAGCAGCTGGCAAAGATCTTGAAGATAAAAAGCAACTTACCGAACTTGAAGGCGATCATTCAATACGAGGGCACACCTACAGAGAAAGATATTTTGAGCGTGCGTAAATAACAATCACCATCCGATAATGTTTATTCGACGAGGGAGAGGGATACACAACTTATTTATTTTCTTATTAAATTATTTATTTAATTATTTTCCCAGTGGGATGAGCTATTGGAAATAGGGAGGAAGGAATCGGACGAGAAATTATTGTCTGTTTTAAAAACGATCGGTGTAAACGAATGTTGTATTCTGGTGTACACGGTATGTTAAGATTACTGAAATTCATCACGCCAGCCGTCCGATGCATCGTTAGCTCAATTTGCAACTATCTTTTTAGTCAGGAACAGTCGGAAATCCGAAAGCGGTGATGTTGAGCCATGACAACATCCTGTATATTTCGAGATGTCTGTGTGAAACCTTAGAAATAATTGAGAAAACCGAGATCATGGTCAGCTATTTGCCGTTATCTCACATCGCAGCTCAGGTGAGTTGTCGTCGAGTGAAGTGACAGTTTTATGTTCACATTTCGCTAGATAAAAGTATCTTGTTTTGCATTCGAAAGTAATCGCCGGCGGAAAATCTCTCGCGTTCGTGATTCGCTCGTATATATATATATATATATACTCGTATATATATCAAGCGTTGCTTCATTAATTTCAGATATGCGATATTATTCTGGGCGTATGTATGGCGAGCACGACTTATTTCGCGGACAAGAATGCGCTGAAAGGTTCGTTACTGAAGACATTACTCGTGGCGCAACCGACCATTTTTTTGGGGGTACCCAGAATATGGGAGAAGTTCTATGAGAAGATGCTGGAGAAGGCGCGCGGTAACAGTGCTGTAAAAACTTGGATCGCCAAATGGGCGAAAGCTCAGGGGTTCTATTACCACACGAACAAGATGAACGGGGTGGATTACAAGCATTGGGGCTACATATTCGCCAAGTGGCTTGTGTTCGACAAAGTGAAGGAGGCATTGGGCCTGAATAAATGCCGCTTCTTCATTAGCGCGGCGGCGCCCATTAGTATCGACATTAAAAATTATTTCTTGAGTTTGGATATGCCGGTGATGGAAGTATTCGGAATGTCTGAATGTGGCGGTCCTCATACAATTACCGATCCTAAGAATTACACGTAAGTCGTGCCTACTTAGGCCTGTCGTATTTATTACGCTTACGCTAAGGTATATCACCCCATCCCCTCTCGTTAAAGTCGCCCTTAAAATCTATTCCCGGAAAAAAATGATTACATATGATTATATATAATTATATAAAATCATATGTAACTTTTGCCTATATATATGATTGCATATATGATCATACATGTCCATACGGAAAAAAATGATGTATCGTTGAATTGAATGTAGATATTATGTTAGAAGTGCAAATAGCCAGAAATTTATTTCGATTGTATTTGCAAACAACGGTACTTTTTCGTTGTGGGCATATATATGATTATATAGTCATATATGGGCAAATCTCATGATCTTTTTTCTCTCCCTGGGCCCCTCACGACAACATGTTGCGTTGTTCTCGGTTTTAGCTTTCGGGGCGTTGGAATAACTTTAAACGGAGTCTATACAAAATTAGACAATATAGACGAGCATGGTGAGGGAGAGATCTGTATAGCTGGACGGCATGTGTTTATGGGTTACTTGAATGCGCCAGAAAAAACCGCGGAAACCAAAGACAAAGACGGATGGTTGCATAGCGGTGATCTTGGTAAACTGGATTCAAAAGGGAATTTGTACGTCACCGGTGAGAATTTGTTCTCGTCGTTTATAACGTTGCGCGTTAATCCTTAGCAAACATAAACGAACACTTTTATACTCCCGTATTTTACACATAGAGATGATAGAGATGATGTAACGTCTCTTTACGTGTGCTCTCGCAGGTAGGATAAAAGAGCTTATCATCACAAGCGGTGGAGAAAATATAGCATCGAACAACATAGAGCACGCGATATTGTCAGAATTACCGGCTCTGAGTAATGCCTTGCTAGTCGGAGATAAGAGGAAATACTTAATAGTGCTTGTGACGCTTAAGGTACAACGAAGGAAATATTGAATAACATACGAATGAAATATTGATACTTTATCGAATACGGAAACAAGCGTATTGCATTGTATCTTATCGAGAGTGTATTTCAGTGCGACATGGACACCGAAACTGGGGCACCTTTGGACACCCTGAATCCAGATGTAGTGAATTGGGCGAAATCCATTGGTAGTCAAGCCAAGACAATAACGGACGTTATAAGCTCTCATGATCCGTTGGTACGTTAAATATTTTGATGAAGATATAAATATAATTGTACTTGGTAATATGAATCGATACGAAATAGATACGAAGTGTAACCTAAGGTATAAGAGCTAAAGCTGCCGAGCAGATCAAGTGTTTAATACGAGTCTAAGAAGGGGAAATAAGAATATTTGACGATATTGCAACACAGACTGATTTTTTTCTTCGATTTACGTCAAATCACTACTCTTCGTCCCGACAAGATTTTTCCCGAATTGTTAACTTCAATTAGATTAATTATTGGTAGCTATTATACAACTATTAGTCAGTTTTCTCTTTCTATCAAAAAGACACGTTATAAAATAGATATATACATATATTAGAAAATTGCATATCTTTTTTTTCAGATATATGGAGAAATTGACAAGGCAATCAAGAGAGCTAATGAACATGCTATAAGTAATGCTCAAAAAGTACAAAAATTCGAAATTCTTCCTCATGATTTCTCAATACCAACTGGGGAATTAGGACCCACGTTAAAGCTCAAGAAAAATGTTGTTTTAAAGATGTACGAAGATTTAATAGAGAAAATGTACCAGTGAAATGAATCAATGAATTGCATGTTGACGTAATGATAAAAAAATACGAATTATTAACAAAAATTCATTACAAGCACAACTGAATTGAAAAGCCAACCAAATTGTATCTACCAAAGTTAGACGTTTGACAAGCAGATTGAAAAGATATGAAATTATAAACATATATATTATTTATAAAAATATTTTTTAATATAAGACACGCTGATGTTTTATCAGCGTCTTTTTGGAAATCGAAATTTAAAAAGTTAACAAAGCTCAATGTTTTTTATATTTATAAATTTAGTTATTTTATGGCAAGTGGAGTCGTATATTTCATCCTATAAAGATACGGGGAACATCTGCGTTAACAACTAATAATTCAAATATATTGAACAATAATTATATAATTATAATATAATATTAACACGCTCACTATCAGTCATACAATGTAATAGCTGTAATTTTTCTGCCTATGTCCTTGTAAACAATGTTTTACACAATCACTTTAAAAGAAAGGAAATAAAATTGCCTGTGAAAAAGATTCTCTAGATAAACCATGGTAGCGAGCATATTAAAATGAAATTGATTGTCAATAAATTTTGCAGCTTTTTCAATTAAGTATGATAGAAGCGTGTATAGACACAAAAAGAAAATGCTAAAAATGATAAAAAATAAAGATAGAAGTACCTATTTAATGTTAATTATGTATTAATATTCCCTAAGATGATTACGGTGAATACTTGTATATATATTGTAAGTAAAAGTATCAATTTGTGTAATATTGTAAAATTGGAAGGTAAGAATAAAAAGGGCCAAAAATATATCTTAAATGTAATGTATATATTACTAAATATAGTTTACACAATAAGCAAACCTGCAGTTACATTTTAAATTATTATGTTCATTCATTCATCCTACATACTACAGATTCTCGTACAGTAAACATGACTTTTTTCATAAGAAAATAGTTTTACTAAGCGCATCACAGCAGCTTTCGAGAGAGAAATGCAGATCTGTATATTTCTTTATGCTCAATCTCTCTTATCTTATGTATTGAACTTATATGTCGAATTACACATTCAGATTATCATGCTTATACTTAATCAAATGAAACGTTCCGGCGTTATTAGATAATTATCCTTATCACTAAAAGTCACTTTCCAAAATTTCCCAAAATTAATAATGCCTCAAATATTAATTTTTACATGTATGCATCTAAGATGTGTATTTATTGCTAGCTAACAATACAATCCGAATACATTAATAATTCTTAGATTTTCTCATCATTTTCTGCAAATCAAAAGATATTGATGTACGTTTAAAATATGAATGTCTGATTGGATTATAAGAGAATGCAATAGTATATAAAAATTATTAAATTTTCAAGCAAGAATAAATTGCAAAGCTCAGACATCACATTGTGGCACATACATAGAAATCACTATTTTTAATAATATTAGATATTTTCCTTGGTAAGGAGCTAGAAAATAATTGGTTTGCTAAAAATACAAGATTTTTACGATACTATATCTTTTACACATCTGTAAAAAAAAAAAAACAACCAAACACAGAGTCAAACTTCTGATTGTATATGATTGTACCATATTATTCCGGCATCTAAATGAAACACTAATTAACAAAATGTAAAAGAATGACAGAACATCTTATGAAGCAGTCGATGTATTAAATTTTTGTTGGATGATGGATGTTTTTCGCTGTGGTACCGTTTCTGGTGTTGGTATAGCATCTCCTGTTGGCAAAACACCAGCTGGCTTTGGTTTGGCTGTAGATTTTTGTTTTGCCATTTGATAATCCCCAGAATCAAAGTACTTTTGCTGAAAGAGTATTTGAGATCTATTATCTCCATAAATTTCAACCTCAGGAAAAAAAAGAACGCGAATACCTTTTTTTTGTGATATACTACAGTATTACAGTTCTGTATAATAAAGACAATATATTTACCCCTTTAGCTAATCTTTTCTGCAGAAATACAGAATGACCACCGAATGGCCGGCCAGCTGCGTTTGGAAATTTTGCTCTTAATTTTGCTTCTTCTATCTTTTCTATGTCACTCGACGACAACTACAATGTAAAATTAGGTGAAGATCATGTGTACACAATATATAAACAGTCCTGTACGAGTGATTCTTTTTGCTTACTTATACTCATATATAACACACGATCTGTTTTATTATCAGATTCTGCTCGAGCTTAACCCATAACTGATGTGGCGCAATGAAGATCGCGTAAATCCACTTTAGCAAGTATCGTAGGTTGTCAGAAGCGAATAAAATAATTAAATTCAATATATTTTGATCTTGAAATTAACTTAATTCACACCCGTGCGCACATATTTGTACACATACAATTTCTGCCGTAAAATATGTTTTTTTTTTAGAGCAAATTACAAGATACTTCGACACATTTCGGTAAATACACGATCTTGACAACATTTTGACACGCCACTTAAGGGTTAATCAATCGTCAGCCGACTAATCAGATCAATTTGTATCTTTTACCTCCGTGGTCGGGTTCTGCTCGCTCGTCTGCTCGTCGCTCATCGTTGCGGCTTTTGAAACGCACTGCTCGTCAGTGACCGCTTCTTCCCTCGGACGCGCCACTTAGTACCTTCCGACGAATACTAATTCTAATGCTAACGTATATAACGTACATAAGCTAAGTGAGTGGCGCAATAACGGCGAGGCTGTTGCGCGCAGTTCTTTTCTCTCAATTTAATCTTACTTCCGGGGTCGGGGAATTGATTTTCCGTTGCGTTTCAGCCGACGCGATGACGCGGGACGATCGGCCACATCGAGAGAATTGTCAATGAAATTGCTTTCGAATGCACACCATCCAAACAGGCGAGCGCGTCGCATGCATGGGGTCATATGTTCCCAGATGGCTGTTACCGAGCTCGTGCGGTGAGTTTCCACCGCATCTTTCTGCACCTCACCACGCTACACTCTCTACACTCGGTGTGAAGTCGGGCGGTGGTGGAAAAGGGAGGTAAGATAACGGCTCCATTTGCACGGGCGTGTACGCGCGTTTGTGTTGGCCCGCAATAGCCATTTTACACCTTAAGAAATTGACCAATCACAGTCGAATGTGAAGAGAATAATTAACTGAGCTGGTCTTTCTGCCGAGTCCAGCTATTATGTTTATAACTTGTTCCACATCGCGCCAAAGTGTGATCAAGTTTTCCATCTAGCTATTGAATTAGCGACGATGATGACACCAGCTGGTCTTTGACTCTGGCTGATACATTCAAAGCGGTCGGTGGCGTGTGATGGCCGTAATTTATCGCGTGCATGCAACGAGGACGACACAATCCAAAGGAATTCGATCAGCCGTAGAACGAGTGTAACACTGACATGAACACTTTAATCCTAACGAAAATGATGACCGGCCGCGGAGTTGTTCGACGTGCGTGTCACCGAGTATTACTTCACGTCCTATTATAGATTAGCATGGTTTTGTAATAACTTGTAACCCACCTTCGTTATAGATAATGCCTCAGCTTAACGTTACATTTACATAACACGTGTGTGTGTCATGATAAAATTAATGCGCCCACACTTTCGAACATTGACGGATACTTTGTCACTTTTTTCTTTTAATTTCTTCATCGATGCGTTGTTAGGATCGAGTCACATTGTAAGAGGCGCGATGTAATCGCAGGTTATGTTGCGCTAGATTGTTCGGGAATTTTCCATCAGCACAATCGATCTTTCGATTCGAAATATACGAATGTTATTCTGTTATTTTACGATCGTACGTTAATGATCGTGTAACAATGACTTTCTAATCACAGTGTTAGTCTACGAAAATACAAACCCGTATTTATCATTCAAATTAATTTTCAATTTGCAACGTTCGATTTATGTGTTATATAAAAGTTTTTTTTGTTATTTCTATATTTTTAGTATATGATGCTACATGTTTATTTAGCGACTAAAAATTTCTGTTTCAGGATACTCCCCGTTTAAATCATGGTACAGTACTAACCATACAATGAACGGTGTACCTATAATTTGTACAGATTTATATGATCCAAAGAGACTACTGCTGGAGCCTACATTTTCGCCAATGTACATTAATAACACAACATGCCTTCCCATTCGTACATTTTATTTAACTTCAAACTGGAAAGGCCAGGAATCATCATCCAAGGTCGAAGAAACAGTGAAGAACATTAAAGAAGAAAAGGAACTGAAGCAAAAAATGGTGGATGGTATTGTAAAAGATGTCGACCCATCAAAGAAAGCTATTGTCAAAGCCTCAATATGGCAAAGAATCAAGAGCGAGATATTGCACTATTATCACGGATTTCGACTGCTGGGACTCGATATGAAAATCTCAGCAAAGTTAATATGGAGAATTTTGCATGGCAAGGAGCTCAGCAGAAGAGAACATAATCTGGTGAGTTGCAATTGTTACTTAAATCTGATGTATCACATCAGCAGTAAAACTCGCTAATCAATTATTTATTCTAAACAGCTGATAAAGACAACTGGAGATATGTTCAGGTTGATTCCTTTCTCTGTTTTCATCATTGTTCCATTTATGGAATTTTTACTTCCTGTGGCGATTAAATTATTCCCTGGCATGTTACCCTCCACCTTCCAAACGGCAACTGAAAAGGAAGACAAACTTAAACAGGCTCTAAAGGTACGAGTTTCGTTCACAATGCTGCTCAATAGTTTGGTAAAGAATTCGAGGCAAACGTTAATCCAAATACTCTATATATGCAGGTCAAGATAGAAATGGCCAAGTTTTTGCAAAAAACGTTGGACGAAATGGCGCTGCAATCGTCGGACCACAGATCCGAGAAGGCCAAGGAGTTCGCGGAATTTTTCTATAAAGTGCGAACATCCGGCGCCGTCGCGACCAACGAGGAAATCATGAGGTTCAGCAAGCTTTTCGAGGACGAAATAACTTTGGACTCGCTCTCGCGACCGCAATTAATCGCTCTGTGCAGAGTACTGGATGTACAGACGCTTGGCACTACTAATTTCCTACGATTCCTGCTTAGGATGAGACTGAGAAGTCTTGTCGCAGACGACAAAGTGCGTACACCTTTATTTCCTTTGTTGAGATTTCTCGAGATTTCAGATTAAGCTATCAAACCGAACGAGATCCTTTTTTTCTCCCGATAGCTGATCGAAAAGGAAGGAGTCAACACTTTAACCAGAGCCGAGCTGCAACAAGCATGCAGAGCACGCGGTATGCGTGCTTACGGATTGCCGGAGAACCGATTAAAAGATCAGTTGTCACAGTGGTTGGATTTGAGTCTGGAGAAGAAAGTTCCACCTTCTTTACTGTTGTTGTCACGAGCGCTTATGATACCCGAAACGGTGCCTATGTCGGACAAGCTGAAGGCCACTATATCGGCTTTGCCCGATGCGGTGGTGGCTCGTACGAAGGGTGCTATTGGAGAGAAGGAGGGTAAAATGGATCACAGGACGAATATTGAGATCATAAAAATGGAGGAGCGTAAGATCGAGGAGGAGAGGAAGGAGATGAAAGAAACGGAGCCGCAGCCGATCGCCTCAGAGCCCAGCGTCAAGAAGGACGAAATTACCACTACGGATGTAAAGGTTCTCGAACAGGCTCTGGACTCGATTGGCAAGGTTAGTGAATTAGACGTTCGTAACGTGTAAATCCTTCGATATCTGTATTAATATGTGTTTGTCGAATATGATCTTACTTTCAGGATAATAAGAATATGGCTGTAGAGAAGGAGGAGATCAAGGAGCTTAAAGAAGAAATGGCCGAGTACCAAGAGGACATTAAAGAACTGGATCAGTTTAAAGCAGAGACGAAGGGCCAAACGGATATAGACGATATTAAAGTATCGAAAGGCGCTAAGAGGTTGTTCAACAAAGTAAATAAGATGATCTCTAAGATGGACGCCGTCCTGTCGGAGCTCGAGCAATCCGAGAAGAAAGTGAAGGAGAGGTTGCAATCGCTGGGTCCTGACGAAAAGAAGGATGCTAAAGACGTCGAGGAATTAGTCAAGATCGACGAGTTAGTCGCGGCCATCAAGCAAATCCAAAATGTGCCCGATGAACATCGGCTAAAACGCATAGCGGAAATTTTAGGAAAAATTGACGATGATCAGGACGGTGCAATAAAAATAGAAGATGTCTTAAAGGTACGAATGATACTAACTTTAGCTTTTCCCAACTACAATAAATATGCGAAAGCACGCATGATCTCATAGATACATTGCACAACTTTCTCTCATTACGTTAATAATACACTTACATTCTAATTATGTTAATTACACGTGATGGAATTCTTGCAGGTTGTAGAATTAATAGGTAAAGAAGATATTAAATTAAGCAAAGAACAAGTGGACGAATTAATAGAGTTAATGGATAAGGAGGAAGAATTGTTAGTGGAGGAGCAAATGCAGAAGTCGTTGCAGAAGGATTCCGAGGAACAGGAGAACATGAAAGGCACGCACAGATCCACGGTGCCCGCTACGCCGGTGACGACCGAGCCGGGATTTGGAAAAGAGGAACTGGCGGACGATGCCGTTAGGGAGTCCAGCACACCCTACACAAGTTCGTCCATCGAGGAGGAGAAGCAGAAATCGGCTGCCATTCTCAAAAGCAATTCCAAATCTGACGAGGTGAAGAATCCACCGCTTAGACCGAATGTTCCACCGACACCGAAGAAGGCAGAAGGTTCCAAACAGCTATGATTAGCGCACAATGGAAGATAGAAATAGTATATTCAATTATCGGAGCAATATTTTTACCGAAATCTAACAGCATAAAGTTTTGGTATGGATCTTCGTCTCTATGTTGTATCCCGCACATGTTCTCTTTTCTTTTTCTCTTTTCCATGTCTTAAAAAAAAATAACTTTCAGACATTATTTGCTGCAATTAAAGGATGCATCGTTGTTAGGGTTGAAAGTAAAATTTTTTTATATTCATGTGAAGACATCTCGTTGACATAATTGGTCATCGCTGAGATATAACATTGTGTTGGTATGTTGTACATAAGATGTGAGCGGATATACGTCTGCCTGTGTGTCTGTTGTATATTATATTGAGTCAATAACGAGTTACGTTATTTTGTATTTCGTATTGTAAACAGATACACGCAACCCACATACATACACACACACACATACAACTCCCGAAGTTTCCATTCGAAGACTGTGATGCATTTAACGGCATCATTTGTTACACCGTATCTTTTTGTCAGTAATATGTACTGGTTATGAAGATGTTACCAAATATTCATTCTCCGAAGAATTCATTGTCGATGTTACGCGTAAATTCTTCGCAAGAATGTCTGGAACGTTGTTAACATCGACGATAAATAAACGGAGTGCTGAAAGAAGTGTGTTCGGTCTCTGTTACGATACACAGATTATGAAACTGCAGTGAATCCAGAAGATAATCATTCCATCTGTCTGAACGCCATTCTTGTATATTTGTGATACATTTGACGTACATTGATCGTAACTTGATAACAGATTAGCAATCGTAAATTATGGATTACTTTGCAGCTTCAACTCGTTTCGGACTATTTGGCACGAAAGAGAGAGATATATATATCTATATATAAAAATGTACAGTAATTTATAATTTACCTTATCACTTGCGAAACACACACGCAGACAGGGACATGTTCTACTTCATACACGTACACATATTATTACGTGAAACAAGGATAAAATGTAAAAAATAATTTATATACATGTATGAGTATTATTCGCGCCCTTCCCACGTAGAATGCTAAATTTGCAGAAGGAACTCTATGAAAAATATTTCTACCTGTAATGAGATATATCGGTATTAAGATACCGCATGTACATAAAAATAGCAGGAAATATTTATTGTATATTTGCATTATTCTTAACAATGTTAACCGGGCGAAGACCATTTAAGATGTATTATAAAAATATGAATTGTCAACACAACAATCAGAATTATCTATTTTTTTGCTTCTGTGCGCATGAAAGTCCAAATATATGTAAGAGGTATACGTGTATTATTTAAAAAAATTTTTATAGGACACTGTTTTGAAGGAGAAATAAATTTGTAAAATCAAGCGTCCTAAAAAAAAAATGAAAGTATTTATAAAATTTTATATTGTTGCATATTTTTCTTTTATTTGATCTATTTCCTCCGTTCCGTTGCTTTCTCACGCACTTGCGGAAGAGATAAATTAAAAAGTCTGGACAAAAATTCTTTTACGAACTATCACGAAAATTCATTTTGCGGTAATTTTTTATTTCATACAAAATATTGCAAAACAATGCTATTTGCATCGTGCTAAATATCCGCTGATAAAAGTTACTTGGTTAACAATGAGTCATCATAGATGATGTCATTTTCATACGAATACAAATATAGTAAATGTATTGTTACATAATAAAATCAATGGATTAGATGTACGACCGACTCTTGTACAAATTTATCAGTAATCACATACTGCATTGATACGTGACATATATTACCTTGGAGCCCAGCTTTCAATATTTTTATAATTTTGATGCGATGCAAAGATAACCAGAGATAAAAGAAACCAGTTTCGATAAGATTTGTTTCGATGTTAAAACCGACAAAATAATTTGTTTTACTTTTCATGCCTTTCAATAGTTGGGATCTTCGGAAGTTGAGTAGAAGCAATATAATAGCGCTATTATAAATGGAACAAAATCTATTGATTCTTATTGATTGTTATTTAACGAAACATGTGGGGGGTTTCTCATCAATGTTAAAATATTGAAGTAAATGAATTCGTTTAGACTTTCTCACTGAAAATAATTTAAATATTTAGAAAATATTAACACATGTACATGTTTGTATATATTTGTCTAATAACAAATTATTATTTTTATGTAACGTTATTTTTTCTTAACGAAAAACGTAACATAACTAGTTGATGAATGTATTTCACATCTGAAATTAAATAATGGGCTGGATATACATGAGTGGACAATGGTCGAATGATTAATCAATACATAGAGATTACATAAAAAGGCTTTTAATTTGACAAAATAGCAAACATGTAGAATTGCAAAAATCTATATAGTGGTGCGGATAATGGTACGTAGTATATATAATATGTTTGAATCTAAACGCTGTCGTAAAACTCCTCTAAAGAATCTTGTAATTGTTTGATTGACCTCGTTACATCAACAGTGAACACTGAAAAGGCACAATCAATATCAACAGTACAAAAGTATCAAAATTAAATACGCAGATTTCGCTTCTCCTATAAAAAAGCTTATAAACATATGCGTTTTGTGAGCTTCAATAACCATCTCTGTAACATCTGTACTTCGTTCATTATCTCCAAAGCTGTATGTATTAAAATTTGGTTGCTTCATATAAATGCATAAATGCACCTCATCGAGGTAGAAACTTTTTTTTTTTTAGATGAGCGCGACTTAATTATGGAATCAGTCTCTAATTACAGTCTACTATGTTAGAGATAAAAATTAATTTTTTATTGTTACATCATGATTCGATACTTCTGATGTTTTGATAGTAACGAAAAGTGCTAGACGTTGTTATAAAAAAGGTTTTTGCAATATTTGCAATATTTTGCCGCAAAAATGAGATCGTAATAAATGAAATTTTCTTTTTGTTAAGTCCTCCTTCATTTTGCATTTACGTTTAAAAATGCAAACTTCTATATAAATAAATATACATATATGTATGTATGTATATGTAATATATATATATAAATTTTTTTTTCGTGTACAAGATGCGAACATCTTTCCGCATAATAAAATATAACAACACAATGTAAAAGATTACATCAATAACTATCAATGCGTCACGACTTGAGTTACTACCAAATTCACTCACACGTTTGAGAGATGTCGAACTATTATATATTGTAAAAGGCTGTGTGTAACGAAAATAACTATATAAAGTAAAACTTAGCAATTAAATATATTAAAACTATATGAAACGCCACATATATATAAACAAATATTACTTAATACAAATAATAATAGTTTTCGTGACTTTACAGTGTGTTATGACTCTATTTCAACATAACTCACATAATAGCAGTAGGATGAAAGAAAAGATTAAGGATATTTTATCATATTTATGTCTCCGAAGTTTTTGATCATTCTTAAACAGAATAAAGAGTGCTGAAATCATTGAAGGTTGCAAATAAATAGTGCAAAGAGGTCAACTGAGAATGCAGTCGTTTTATTTCAACATGAATGTAATTACATCATTTACGTAAATATGTATCGGAAAAACGAAACAAATAAAATATTCGCAAAATTCGTAACATTTTAGATCATCTCAAACACATTAACATTATCCATATTTCAGCACTCTGAAGATAAGTTTGCAAGCAATTTCGCATTTAATTTTGGATTATTATAGATGTTACTATGTTAAATTTGTTNATATTTATGTCTCCGAAGTTTTTGATCATTCTTAAACAGAATAAAGAGTGCTGAAATCATTGAAGGTTGCAAATAAATAGTGCAAAGAGGTCAACTGAGAATGCAGTCGTTTTATTTCAACATGAATGTAATTACATCATTTACGTAAATATGTATCGGAAAAACGAAACAAATAAAATATTCGCAAAATTCGTAACATTTTAGATCATCTCAAACACATTAACATTATCCATATTTCAGCACTCTGAAGATAAGTTTGCAAGCAATTTCGCATTTAATTTTGGATTATTATAGATGTTACTATGTTAAATTTGTTTCTTTCTTTTTTAACTCAAGTTACACATAACAGGAATGTATTATATAGTAATATGTGTCGAGAGATAGTAACAATATATTGTTATCGAAATGTTTTAATATTATATAGAAAAAAACATCATGTGTTCTTCGAATATTTTAAATATACGAAATCAGTGGATATATTATATACATATATGTATATATAAATATATATATATATATATATATATATTAGCATAAATTGCATATATCTTAAGTTCGAGTATATTCCTTCTGTACGTAATACAGAAGGCAGGACAAATTAAAAATGTCAACCCACTGTAAAGTGTCAGAAAACTTTCATTTTTAGTATAAATACAATTCTCTTTTCTTACACTTAGCTTTCGATTATAGGAGTCGAACCTTCTTCCGTAACACGAGCTACATATTGTTTTATGTTTGTTATAGCAAGATGCAGCAGTTTGTTTTCTTCTTACGTTCACTCCCATCTCCCTGGTTTTCCTGTGCTTTGCGAGCAGCTATCGCCCGCATTAAATCAAAGAATACCTGCAAGCGTTTCATTTTTATTCATCTTCTGCTTCTTTATATAGAAACTTTTTTAAGTTTGCACATTTATGAACAAGAAACAAAACGCATATTTTTCTTCTTTTCCAACCCACATTGAAACACTATTACCGATTGTATACAGAAAATATTTCCAATCATATTTCATTGTGTTAGTACTTTTCAATCTCATAAAAATGTGTAACTGACGCATGTGATGTATACGAAAAAATTTCGGAACAGTGTCGTTGAAAAGAAAGAAAACAGGAAAGCAAGCATGCTTGCATAAATTGCAATAAGCTTTACAAATGACACGTATACATCGCTTTACACTTATGCAAATACTTGTGAATAAATTATTAAACCGATGTTTGAGTACCTCAAACACAAGTGGCTTGAAGCAACACAAAGAACGAGATATGCAATAAAATATGTGTTTTCTAAGGAAAAAACTCATCTTTATTATATTTTCTTGTCACATAATATAACTGGGTGATCCTTTGATTGTACATTTTTATTGCATATCTGCAATAGTCAGTGATAACCAGAAATTGCATTAGATCCAGTAAACGGTCGACATTCCACGTGTTCTCCACAGATACATAAACAAAATTGCCGAAAGAAGAAACGCCATGGTTTAACACGAAACAGAGAATAACGTAAAAAAAATATAGTGCAAGAAAAAACGGCAAACCTATAGAATAATGCACTTCTTTTTCTTCCTCTTGGCACGGTCTTTACCTCGACCATTGCTCGCCGACTTATCCTCAATCTTGCGTGACCTTATTTCACGCATCAAGTCGAAAAATACCTGCAAATGTGCAACGGATGCTGTCTCAAAGCTTTAAGGCATATAAAATGTGCAATATAAGAAAAAAATGTACGATCGTTTCCTTTACTTGGAAAGTAAGAAAAAAGAACGGTGAGATTGTGCGCATAAGCAATAGCACAACAAATAGAACACGGTGATAAATTTAATAACATATAAATATACATAGACTGCAGAGTTAAGCTTATTTAAATGCGCATCTCATGCAATCGATTCGTATGCTGTAAACATTACATTAAAAACGAAGTGAAAGAGTGGAAAGCAAAAAAAAATATATATATATATAATATGTGAATGCATCCGCCACTTTTTCAGCAGTTTAACTACACAGAGTGTACATGTTTGTAAATGTCTGACAAATAGAATGAATCTGTAATTGGGTATCTAATTCCACATTACACAATAGCGTGTGATCTAACTAAAAAAAAAAAAAAAAAATATTTAATCTTTTGCAAGTTTCTTGTATTGCATTTTTAACAAATTGTCATTTGGAAATATATTATTCAACTAAGAAGTATGCTCTTCTCGTGATGAAAAATATATCGTCTCGTAAAGGATATTAAATGAGAATCTTGTCAAGCAGCACTTTACCTTGTCTACATTTTCTTTTGTTTTGGCGCTTGTTTCTACGTAAGGAACACCCCACTGTTGGGACCTAGCTTGAGCTTCGGCTAGACTAACCTTCCTTTTTTCTTGAAGATCACTCTTATTACCCACTAATAAGAATGGAATGTTTTCATCATTTTTTACCCTGAGAATTTGTTCTCTGCGAGAAACAGATTTTTGTTAATTTGTCATAATAAAGATGTATGGTGATGAACGATCGAATTTTAGCGTGCACATTAATTAATCAGTTGTATTGAACTTTACTCACCTGAACTCTTGCGTAGCCTGGAAGCTGTCATCTTCCGTTATCGAAAATACACAGAGGAATCCTTCTCCGCTGCGAAAGTAATTGTCCCGAATCGCCGCGTAGTCTTCTTGTCCTGCAGTGTCCAAGATATCTATTTGTACCTCTTCGCCGTCTAATACAACTTTTTTCCTGTAGGAGTCTGCTTTTGTAGGTTCGTAATCTTCAACAAACTGGTTTTAACGCCAGAATTAAAATTAAAATCCAAAGAAACAAACCTTGTTCATATAATAATATATATTTTCCTAAAATATGATAACATGATAACTCGAGAAAGAAAAATTAGATACTTGATGAAATTTCAATAATAAGCAGGTGCTTTATCTTATATATAAAAAAATTATTTACCTCATCGTACATAAACTGCAGTGTGAGAGCTGATTTTCCAACACCACCACTGCCAACCATTATTACCTTATGCATTGCTTGAGTGGCTCCTGGTTTCTTCGACATTTTTGCCTTAATCACCTTTAATTAAGATAAAGTAGTCATTAAATGTTCCTTATACCATAAAGATATAGAGCATTCTGAATTAACAGAATTTTGTACTTGTACTTGTGTCTCTAAATATATATAATATTAATTAATAATAATATTATGTATAAATATTATTATTATTACTTATATGTTAATATTAATATTGTACATAATATTAATAAGTAAATTATTATTACAAGAAAATATACGTATCGATAGATAAATAATAAAATAAATAACGATGGAAATATATATAAGGTTACAAGCATACACAATGCCATCTCACTTTTTTTCAAAACAGTACTTTCTCTATGATGATTATCTTAATTAAAGTAGAGCAAAGTTTACAATAGCAGGATGTAGGAATTATATTGTCAGTGTGAGAGATCTAAGACTATGCTCGAGTTATAGTTACATGTGTGTTTTCACTTATTGTGTATTTTACACACCACACACAGAGGATACACCGTGTCTTATACATTTAAATTGGATAGCTCAGAATATCCGTGTATTCTAAACAGCAGGGAAACGCTTTAAACGCCTAGTCCATTATTTATGAGAATTGGATTATCGTATATCTCATAGTCTTTACTCCATTGATCTAAATTCCACACTCTATTTTATGTACACGATAAATAATTAGACATATCATTCGAAAGTTACGAGACATTAAAACTGTGACACAAGTTCAAATGAGAAATCCGATAACGAGACAACAATTCAATATACTTTACGGAATTACGGTTAACAAGTTATCACAATTGATTCCAGTTACACTACCGAACTGTCAACAGAAGCGTTACCGTTATTTCCGCGTAATGGAAATGATGAGGAAAAAATAACATATTTAATCCGACCTGAACTGTAATACCACACCTCGCGATAGATCGTTGTCGATCAGGATTCATCTCGACTCTCGTTCGCCCAGATCAAACACAAAATAGGAAAGGCAGCGCAAAAGAGATAAAAAAAAAATAGACAAACGAATAACGAAGAAAATACACGCTTCGTGTAATCGCTTGTATAACTGTAAGCGACGCTTTAAGTTGCGCTCCTTTCTATTTCCATATCTCGTTTAAGGGGAAGTCCGATATAACGATTGTTATAAATAATTGCGACGCGACACGCTCCCCCCGATTGTATACGGGGAGGTGTGCGTACAATCGCCTCGAGAGGGACCGTCGCGATTATCGAGCGGTGCCGATGTCGCAGGGCGAAGGGAATTGGATAGCCGTGTCGGCGGGGTGTAACATGAGTAACGAAAAAGGCGGTGCCGTATTTCCGAACGACGAAGCGGTGATTCCGCGAAAGGCCGGATGGATGATTGTTCCTCGTTCCGGCGGACATGCGGAAACTAACGAGCGCGGCGTCTCGGCGGAGTCTCGTCACGTCGCTCGGCTACGATAACGGGGAGTCGCGTCGATAAATACCTCGGGAAATCGTGCGAACGTCGAAGCGCCTCGGGAACGTTCCTCGACCAGTCTCTCGCAGCGGTGTCCGCACAGCCGTCACACACGCGTTGGTTTGCACTACTTTCACGCAACCGCTAGTACTGATAGTCAAACGCGGTGTCGTTCCGATCGTTGACTCATCGCACCATTTCTGTCACTAATCGCCACCAGCAGGCGCCCCCGACTGCTGATGGGCGAATACTTACGTCGCGACCGACGTTGCGCTGTCCAATCAGCGCACACTGGCTTCTAGGGGGTGTGGTGATATCCTTCTGTCACCAGAACGCAGCGTGAATTTCTCATTGGTGGGGTTCAGGGTCGAGGCGTGACTAATTATTTGGCGGCCGGTCATTTTTGTGGCCTACTGGCGAAAACTTTACGTGAATCGAGTGATAAAGAGTGACATAACCCTTGTGAGAGAGAAATTTTTGTATGTGTATCACTAATGAAACCAGATGACGTAATAATTCGCAGCATTCTCCTCGTGTTTCTCTCGTCTGAACGTTGACATTGTAACATGATTGCATCATCAAGTAAGAATCCCGAAAATGAGATCGAAGATCCTGTCGAGCAGATGCTAAAGAAGACCGGTTGCATGGAATTGCATTATCAAGTTCAAGTGTGTCTTTAATTGAAATTTAAATCTGTATGGTTTTACCTATGTAAAGAGTTCCATTAGATTTAACATCGGTCGACTTTCTCTCGCTTATGATCTAATAAAGAGAAAATAGGCGTTTCGGAGATCAAGTAATCAAAAAAGAATCCGTTGAAAGCAAATACAAGTCTATTTACTTCCTTTCTTCTTCATTATTTGTATTATGGCTTGTATTTTTCTTCAATACATTCTGTTTTAATTTTACGAATTAAAAACACGAAATTTTTTATCGCACTATACATGCAGGATTCTATGAATCATTTTCAGGAATGTATAGCTGAGCACCAAGATTGGAGAAAATGTCAAGATCAGGTGAAGAAGTTTAAAGAATGTATGGCTGAGCATACAAGAAAACAAGAATTAAGACACAAGTGATAGTTTTATCTTAAAAATGTGGTTGTTAGGAAGATATATCAGATCTCTGATGTCTCCTGTATGGAATGGAGAAAGCTGTAAAATGGTGATAGTAGTCCGGTCAGATTTACCTATGGGAAAAGGCAAGGTTGGTGCTCAATGTGCTCATGCTGCGCTGGAATGCTGCCGTCAGACCTTAAATAACGAAAAGAAGCAGCAAATGTTTCGCTCTTGGTTACAAATTGGACAGCCTAAAATTGTTCTTAAAATACAAAACGAAGAGGAATTGTTGAACCTAGCCGATAAGGCTCAACATGCCGGTCTAATTACCGCTATAATAAAAGATGCCGGTAGGACTCAGTTGATGCCTGGCACAATCACAGTTGTCGGTATAGGACCAGGATCCAATGAAGTTATAGATAGCCTTACGTCAAAATTAAGATTATTATAGTATTCATTTATGCATCAATTGGTATACTTTATAGGTTCTTTTTAATACCAAGATATTCAAACTGGGATGAAAAATTGATAGTATCTGGAATTATCAAGATAAGTTAAAAAAATTTTTTTTTCATACATAAGATAAAAATTTTGTTATTATTGTAAAGATTGTAACGTAAATTTTGAAGTGTGTTAAACATAATCTGTTAAGAAAGCATGCAGTGTTGTGTACATACATAGAAATAAAAATCAATTTTGGGTTGTGTGTAATATAAATTGTATATTTTTCTCTTTAGAGTATTAATTGCGGACGTATGAAAAAATTTGTTTAAATTAGATACATAATCATTATTATAAAGATAATCGAATTTTATGATCCTGGATCGTGCATCCTGGCAGAAAGATCAATTGAATAAGACATTACCACCTAGATGATTCAGTGGCGTAATAATAAGTTTTATTATACTAAAATAATGTCTCCATTGTTGCTAATATTATCGTTCCCATTCATTTGTGAATGGTATCTCAAAATACTTTAAAGACACATATAATCTGCATAAGTAAATTATATAGATACACGCTATACTGCCTTCATATATATCGTAAGCATAATTTATATAACGTTTGAATATATGTGCCTTTGAAAAAATATACTTAAAACTCTAAATACAATTTTGCTAAACACAATTGTCAAGGAAAAATAGACTATACTAAAGCTTGCTTTCTCATTCCGAGAGTGAGGGTGTAGATATTAGAAATATAAATATATCATAAAGATTTCACCGATCTCACGTTATATACACATGTGCTGCGGCATTAAAATATTCCCAAGAAAGTGTATACCACCGTACTATATCTAAGTTATTACAAGATTGAGCAATAATAGTGTAACAGGAAAACGCGCACTCACAGCTCCCTATAATCCTGCTAGTCAGTATAATTTTATACATACAGTACCACATACGCGACTCTTTCTCTCTCTCTTAAACCACGCAATTGGAATCAAATTGTTACGAAAGTTATATAAGTATTTTATTTCCCACCATTCTCATCCAAGCGCACATCGCAGAATACTCCTCGTTGAAGTAAATATGGAATAATTACAAGATGCAATGGCGAATTAACGACGGCATCGAAAAAATGTGTGCCTTATTCGTGAGTTTCCGATGATTCTTACGTGTACACACATAGGATGTGCTTGGGAGGGGGGGGGGGGACGACGTTTCTTATACGACCGAAAGATTNTCTTATACGACCGAAAGATTCGCAGAGTGGCTGGAACACGGGCGAAAGTTAGTATTTAAGAAATTCACGACTTATGAATATGATATGAGTACGAGAGAGAAACTGCTGTTCGAAAGAAGAGACAGATGCTCGCTAAAGTAAATTACGGAGCACGCGTTGCAGTATCGTTATCTACAAAACTAACACTCGTAATTCTAGCGTGATCATAAGAAACTGGCTTTTAATATCAGCAGTGAGATTACACACCGATGCCGAAAAAAGAGACACGCACGATAGCGCACGTTGTTCTTTCACGGAGGAGTGAATGTTAATTACTACTAATGATTCGGTCGAAAACGCTAACAATAAGAGGACCCGACACGCCGTTGGATCTCGCGCGCGTCAGATCGAAAAATCGCACACCTCCGTTTCTCCGTGGCGAATACTCATATCATACTCACGTGGCTACTTCTTCCGACCGTGTCGACTTGTCAATCTCGGTATCACACGGTCGAGTTCGAAACGACCGACGTACGCAGGTATGTGTACCTCTAATTATAAGACGCGCACGACAGTAGTTCAGTTCACACGGCACATACACGTTCGAGTATTTACTCATGCTATTAGACTGACCATTTGGCAAATGTATCATCACATTGTTCGCGATGAAAAACGCCGTTCATCATCGGTGTCAACATAACACACACACACACACATCCCCGATGTGCACGTGACAGGTATTAAGTGATTATCTTAACGAGTTCCGGCGGCTCTACATAATTGTTTAATACATGCGGCGCTTCGTTAAATTCGTCGAGCTCGTCACCGTTATCCGCGCCTTGCGCAAGTAAAAAGTATTGTTCGCTTCTGGTGGGCCATAATAGGTGTGCCATTACGCAATAAGCGAAACAGTCTACCGAGTACGTTATACCTATAAATTGACGAGTGAGTGAGTGAATCAGTGAGAGGTATGAATAAGTAGTTCGTGGCCGGCGCGGGATCTTACTCACCTAACAACAGCTTAAACCTCCACAGTGCGCTCACTTGAAGAGCTATCAGTGCTATAATGGGCAGATATATGAACCAAACCAACGACGACGCGCCGAAGTGTAGGAGAAAGTGCAGCTTTTGAGTATTATGCTCGTATGTCATGGTGTTCCGCAGCTCGCATAGGAACCACACCATTATTGCACTTCGGAATAACAATATGAACCAACCCGGCCAAGTTTGATACTCGTCTATGTCCTCGATAATGTCGACTTCTGTCTGGAGGGTGGATTACGCGGATTAGAGCGAGACCGTGAGTTCAAGCGCAAGCTTGTACGAGTACTTACCATGTTCCACACGTAGAGCAAGATGTGGACGACTCCGTAACAAAACCATATGGCAAACACCAGTGGCTTCCACGTTAATTCCATTCTCGTCACTGCCCATCCTTTGGCAAGCAGGAGCAATAATAACATAAACGACGTCTAAAAGCATAGAAGTGACTTAATGTCAGAGAATTGGGAGGGGGGGTACAGGTGAGCTGAGAGTTGTTAAAATCTAGCATCGTAAAATCGTCTCGACTGTCTGGACAAGTGGAATTTCAACGCAATGGCTCGCGAGATACATCGAAACGTTTCTTAATTACACTTGGTCTGTTCTTCGTAACTGAACTACTTCGACAAATTTACATACATTGAAGCGTGCACGAAAGATTCTCACGCTCCGGTGTACGTAAATCTCTTGAACTTGGTGCATCCAGTTCGGCTGTGAAGAACAGACCAGATGCAGAGGGGGAAGTAACTACGTTAATCCAATCGAGAAACCGTCTATAATCCCATAAGAACGTTCGGATCTGCTTACCCGTGATAGAATATCAAAAATATCACCTGCAACTTCTAATTGCTCATAGCCCACTCCATCTAGTGCAAATTTCAACACGTGTATCAGGATCAAGCATACCGCTACGAATTCTAATAATAAACTAGCAGTGAACAATCTCGTTACTGGATGCTTTTGCAATCTCACTGCGTACAGCTGCAGCGGCACCAATATGATGTAACACATGAAAAACAATAAGTACAGCTCGATAGTATTCTGTCTGTCGTACGAGAATTGATAAGTCAGACTGTTTAGGCCACTGGTGTTCGGGTTGCCGTTCACCAGCCAGATGTCATACTCCAGTTCGTCGTGCTTGTCGTAATGCTCCCACTGGCAGGTGGTCTCGTTTCTGTAGCACGCGACCAGGCTCATGTACCAGAATCGTGGCTGCCAAAAGTCCTGTATGACGTACGTGAATTGGTGCTCCTTCACGATATTCCACACCGAGTCTTCGTCCGGACACAGCTTGCCACGGGGACACGGTACTCGTCTGCAAGCGCAAGAAGAGAGCACGGTTTGAAAGCAGAATCAAATCTCTTCACCGGCACTGAAGGCGTCGGATCACCGTCGGACGCACGGAGAGACCGGCGTAGCCTACCTCAGGAAGTCCTGGCCCTCCTCGTTGCAGCGCGGATCGTAGGAACTCTGTTTCAGTGTGCCGAACATGTAGGCGCACGCGGTGCTCTTGTTGGCGAGCGTGCGGTTGCCGTAGTACTCCAGGAAGTGGCCACGGTCCAGGATCGCCAGGGTGATCGGCGCGTCGAAGTCGGAGCGCGCGGTCACGTTGCCGAATATGTAGCCGTACGAGTCCTTCTGCCGGTGACGGTCGGTCTTCTGGAAGCCATACTTGATGAGGAAACGGAAGAACTCCCTCGTGTTGAACGTGCCGGTGATGTGTGTGGCGTGCGCGCAGTCCGGCCGCAGTGACAGCCACAGCAACACGCACAGGACGCGCACCAGCCGCCGACGGCCGATCATCGTTCCTCTCGTCGGCGGACGCGCTCGCAGCGGGAGGGCCGCCTCTCCTCGACCACGCGCGCTCCCGTCAAGAGCCGACGGCCACCCTCGGCATTTTCTCGCGACTTCGCACACCAGCTGTTACTCGCGCACTACCTGCTTTCTCTCCTTCTCCGTCCCTCTCTCTCTTTTTCTTTCACACACACTCCCCCTCTCTCTTTCTCTCTCTCTCGGTGCGACGTAACCCCGTTTTCTCACACGCAGGAGCAGCCCGCGGCCCTCATCGCCTCTTCCTCCTCACGGAGACACGACGGCACCCTCGCGACCATCACTCCGGCATCGTACGTTGCCTGCCGCGTAGTCTGACGTAGTTGTCGCCGCTGGCGACCGGACATGCGAATATTAATTGTCACTGGTCTTCCGAGAGCGCGCCCCGAGAGCGTTTAATGACCGACCGGGCCGTTGTATGTGTGTGTGTATGTACTCTATCTCTCTTCTTCTCGGCGCTTTGAACTCGCCTTTTCCTATCGATTTTCCCCACCCGTCGAACGACGGACGATGAGATACCGTCGTCTCGTCTGGTTCCGGGAAGAGACGCTCGTGTTTCCCGCTCGTACCCCGTGCTGTCCCCCTTCTCGTCGCGATACACTCGGCATGTGTCGGGTGCGCACGGTGAGAGACGGCCGTGATTGTGTGTCGAGAAACTGCGAGAGACGAGGGAGAGAAATAAAAAGGGGGATTTCGAGTCGCGGGAGACGCGAGCGACGACTGTGAGCGGAGCCGACTCCGCTCGCGAACTCGCGTTCTTTCGACCGACGGCCGTCTTTCGTCAGCTCGTTGCCAAAAATGCGGCGGTATAGCGAGCGTTGCGACGATGCCAAGCCGACCGGCGACGACGTCGAGCGTCAATCGACCGCGTGATCGAACGCGTCTCGTGTTCGTTGTGTTAATAATGGTCATGGAATGCATTGGACGGTTTATAATTGCAGGCGACTTCTCGATCTCTTATTCCGTTAGCGACAGTCGGAGATAACGATAACGACCGGCGATCAACTTCCGCTCGAACTTTCGCTCACGAACGTCACGGGAACGCTCGGTACGCGTGCGAGATTATTACGCGTTTCTCTCGAAGAAAGTCCGTTTGAGGTTATGTGATGACGCGACCGTTGACCATATTTGTTTGGCGCATTTGTGTAAGCAGTTCTCGTTTTTTGTACTTTTGCATGGAAAGTTTGAAATAAACATTATGATAATTACATGTATGGTGTTGGTATTAAAAGCCTTCTGAATTGTTTCTCAAAAGAGAATCAGAGTCGTGTGAATGTCTTATTGCTGGAAAAACGTGTTAAATTAACTTTTAGTTACTTGAAAAGAAGCTGTTTAAATAAAGTTGATTTTGAATTGTTCAATATGAATGATTCATTGCTGAGAATTCTGATGGTATTTTCCTTTGAGAATTGAGGACTTTCTAGGATTGTAATAAGCTCAGTTAAGATTTTTAGGAATTATCGATCAATGCTGCGATAAAATGTTCCTCGTTTGAGTGATTTTGGCCCTGAAAAGGGCCGTTTTGAAATAAATCAATAATTTAGGCACGTTCTCCGCGGATTCGACGAGCCAGTTGAATATCCTTGGGCATGATGGTTACTCTCTTGGCGTGGATCGCACAAAGGTTGGTATCTTCGAACAATCCGACGAGATAAGCCTCGCTAGCTTCCTGAAGGGCCATTACAGCCGAACTCTGGAAGCGGAGGTCGGTCTTGAAATCCTGTGCGATCTCACGAACCAACCGTTGGAACGGCAGCTTACGGATCAACAGCTCTGTGCTTTTTTGATAACGACGAATCTCACGGAGAGCGACAGTTCCAGGACGGTAACGATGAGGCTTCTTAACACCACCAGTTGCGGGCGCACTCTTACGAGCAGCCTTTGTCGCCAACTGCTTACGAGGAGCTTTACCTCCGGTGGATTTGCGAGCGGTCTGCTTGGTTCTTGCCATCCTGAATCTTCGAGAAAGTCAGCAGTGCGTACAAAACAACGTATTGTATGCGAATGCAATTGTACGCTCGAACGCTGCCTTATATACACGTCTCACGTGTCCGGCGGCTGCGAGCTGCTTGCTCATTGGCTAGTTGAATGGTGATGGGGGTATGCAGTAGGAAGTAGGGATTGGTCGAGCCGAATGCACAACGCACGGAACTCGCTTGCAGAACAGCTTGAACACTCTTTTCCATTCACTGCGGAATGTAATCGATATCCGAAACATGGTTGTTTTTAGTTAATTTTCGCAAACGTTCTCATTCAGACGTCGAATGAATCTCGAAGAAAGTGTCGAGAGAAAGTGTCCAAGCCGTTCTGTGGACTAGAGTGTACATTGTATGGTAGAACGATGGAAGTGAAGAAAACAAAGAATAAATAGACATTAACAAAATGTATATGTTGAATTACTTCTTTGTTGATCAGTAAGATTGAACTGCTCGATGGAGATAGTTCGTGCTAACGAGATTAGCGGCCGTGTTGCAGTGAACTTTCTATTCACTACGGCGTTGCTGATTGGTTGCCGGTGCAGTGGTGGGGGCATATTGTACGCAGCGTATAAAAGAGCGCCACCGGACATTCTGTTATGCATTGACCGCTCAACTGTTTCAACATATGAATCGTAGCGAAAAATGACTGGCCGTGGTAAAGGAGGAAAGGGATTGGGGAAAGGAGGTGCGAAGCGTCACAGGAAAGTCTTGCGTGATAACATCCAAGGTATCACCAAACCAGCTATTCGTCGTCTGGCGAGGCGAGAGGTGGTGTGAAGCGAATCTCTGGATTGATATATGAGGAGACTCGAGGTGTATTGAAGGTGTTCCTTGAGAATGTCATTCGCGACGCTGTCACCTACACTGAGCACGCTAAAAGGAAGACAGTTACTGCTATGGACGTCGTCTATGCCCTGAAGCGACAAGGAAGAACCTTGTACGGTTTTGGCGGTTAATAGAACAAGAAGCTTAACAAGTCAGATCCTTGGAATACTTCGTATTCCTCTCAAAACGGGCGTTTCTCTGTTCCATCTTTTTGGCCTTTCTCAAGGTTATATTTATCAACTTAATATGAATACCGTTTTATCGACTCAGAAACAAACACTAAACACGGCCATTTTCAGGGCCCCATATAGTTAAAACGTTGGAATTGCTCCATTGCAAAAGTAATTTCAGGATCGTATCATTAATGCACTTAAATATTTCTTATAAAAAAATTTTAATGGATTTGGCCTGACTGAGATCCCCATCTCCCTGACGGAGATTTTCTCCGAGATTAACGTGTTAATAGGTTACTAAATATGAAAAAAAGTATCACATATGGTACAAGTTTATATTAACTCTGGTACTGATTAGCGCTGATACCATGCTCTCCCCTGCAACGCAGCCTTGTTACGTATGAATATTTATGTACAGTAAAGGGCATATTTTAGCACTTAAGACAACTTTCATTTAACGCTCGCGTCGTTCCGAGCGTTAAGTAGAACGCGCTTATAATGAATAATAAAGATAGAATGACTTGCCATTCGTAAACGCGTCAGGCAAACGAACGTCAGCCGTCAACTTAATCATAAAAAATATATTCAATCGCACGTGTCGAAGTTGCGGTGTCATGTCCGAAGATAGATTTCTTCATAGTCCGCGTTCAGGTTATTTAAGCACCAGTAGTCTACTGCTTCTTCGATATAACTGACGTTCGCGAGATACTTTACGTGACGGTCGTGTATGTGTCGACGTTTTAACTAAACTGGCAATAATTTTCAGTTTCCTTATACACGTGCGTGAGTAGCTATCACCAATCTCCAAAGACAGAGAGAGAGATAGAGAAAGAGGAAGAAAGAAAGATAAGTCGATCATGTATTCGTGTGCGCCTCGATCGGTTATCCGCTTTATGCCGCGGAAGTTAACCGCGACATTCACACTCCATTCCAGCGTGACTCGACACCATCATTCCGTAGGACCTTTAACCGAACTCACGGACGATGAGTTGATGACGAGGGAAACGGTCGCCAAGTTGGCTAAGGAGGAGATCGCGCCGCTGGTGCGGAAAATGGACAGAGACGGTAAGTTGGACGACGGATTGGTGCGGAAACTTTTCGAGAACGGTCTGATGGGCGTC